TTAGAAGGAATAAGAATATCAAGTTGATTCAAGGGATTTCTATGTATATGATGTTTTGTCTGCATATATTTGTGTACCATGTGCCTGTCTGATGTCTCTCATAGGTCATAATAAGGCACAAGATTCCCTGGAATTCGAGTTATAGAGGGCTGTTAAGCTGCTGTGGAATCATCCTTTTACACTGTGAAAATTTGTTGATGTGATTAGTTTAATAAAGAAGTTGACTGACCAATAGTTGAACAGGATAAAGTTAGGTGGGAAAGCAAAACTGAGAATGGTGGAATGAGGAAGGGTGGAGTCAGAAGAGTTGTCAGCAAGATGCAGAAGGAAGCAGGAGATAAACATACCATGCTAATAAAGGTCCTGCCATGTAGCATAGTGTAAATAAGAAATATGGGTTATCTTAAAATGTAAGAGCTAGTTAGTAATAAGCCTGAGCTATTGGCTGCACATTTATGATTAATATTAAGCCTCTGAGTGATTATTTGAGAAGCGCTGCAGGACAGGAAACTCCATCAACATATGACACCCAATATGGAGCTCAAACCCACAACCCTGAGATTAAGAGTCTCATGCTCTATCAACTGAGTTAGCCTGGCATTTACAGTTACTATTAATGCTCTGGGTGACCATTTGAGAGAGGCTGTGAGGGAGGAAAACTTTTCCTACAGTAAGTCATCATGTGTTTGCTAAAAACAGAACCTATATCCTCTGCAAGAGCATTTGGACAGATTGCTCAGTGGCTGAGCACTGGTTATTCTTGCAAAAGTTCTGAGTTCAGTTCCCAGCACCCATGCTGTGGTTCACAACCATTTGTAACCTCAGTTCTAGAGGATCCAAGACCCTTTCCTAGCCTCTGCAGACACTTTGTAAATGTGCTGCATAGACACAGATAAGGAAAAACATCCATATACATATAATAAAAATAAATTTTAGGGAAATTTTTTAAAGAAAATGTGGGATTTTTATTAATATTTAATATCAATTAATACTCGAATCCTATGTCCTGAGTGAGTTATAAGGCTATAAGTGTCAGCCACACTGGAAATAACATAACTATAAGTGCTCAGACACACCCTTCTGTCATTCACCTTTGCTACACTATAGTGTACTGGAGCTGTATTTGACCAGTGAGTTTAACAGGATTAGAGATCAAATTGCATTAAATTTTATTAAATTAATTTCCTCACAAAATGGAGTCATTTAAGAATATTTACAAATAGCAATATTGGACAAAATTAAACAATATTAATAATGTAAGCAGAGCAGTGGGTGAGGGGTGTGAAAGACAGCTGCCCTGCACCCTGCCCATCTTACAGGCAGCCCACCGCCAGAGCACTCTACATTTGCAGCAGGACATGACTGGAGAGTCTGTGAAAATCCTCTACGATGCCTATTACAAAACAGAGTGGGATTAAAAGATTACTTTTAAATGGTAGATAAGTTTCTAGATTTTCTTAGGAACTTCAGGCCTACAGTGGATAATACTGCAAAGATAAATTAACACTAAGAAAATGTCATTATTACTTGGTGGTAGTTTCAATTGCATCTATCTTAAACCTCTTGGTAATTTGGATTTGATACATTTTATCCAGCCTAATAGAATCCATAATGCAGATTACAAAATCCTCCATTATTTTCAAAATTCTCATTGTTTTTGTAACTTTTCTCACACATTTTTCTTGTTTTCAAACTTATTGTCACAACCAGATTATACAATGATAGAAAAGGTCATCACAATAATGCTAGACAGACACTGACCAGTCCCTTTATATGTAAATAAGCCACAGTTTAGAGGCCTTGGACAAAGGCAAAGCTATGCTAATATCCTTTGCTTTACTAAACCCATTTTTTAAAGTTTTAATTCACAATTTAACATATTGGACCAGATCACTAAGAAAAGACAGTAAACACCGAGTGTGTACCACAGTTTAGCTTCCACCTTGGGTTCCGTGTAAGTTTATGATGGGCATGTTCTCACTCTCAGTCTCATACACAGTGTCCCTCAACAAACCTTGAGCTCTCACTGACTGGGCTGCACTGGCTAGCCAGTAAGCCCTGGGATCCCCCCAAGCGGGGGATACGGTGTGCAAAGCTTTTTGTTTGGGTTCTGGGAGTCAAGCTCAGATCCTCAAGCTTGTACAGTAGGCAGGCACTTACCAATGGAGCCATCTTCCCAACCCAAAATTACTTCTACATATGAAGATGTTTTAAAAATCTCTTCACTGTTGCTTTTCTTGACCTCTCAGCTAAAATCAAGTGAAGAATTCCTTAACCAACTCATTTCATTTCTACTTTACTTACTATATATACAAAGTGAAATATAAGACTGCAAGACAAAGTCCATTTGAAGGGACTTTTAAATAAGTCTAAAATACTTTTAGGAATTAATACAGTATGTAACACCCGATTTTGTGTTACACCCTCAGTACAGTTTGCGCGCCACTGTACCTTACGGTCGGGCAAGGGCCTGGAGATTGAAAAAGCACACAAAGAGACCAGGGTCATTCGAAAGGAGATCAGCCAAATGCCAGTTTATTCATATTTGGGGGAGTCCTTATCTGTCTAACTGCTGCACAAGGATCTCCATCCAGGCAGGTGGGAAATTACCATATTAACAGTGGAGTCGATGCCCTGCAGCTAATCACCAGGTGGGGCAGGGAGAGCACAGAAACAAACAGGAAGCTTAGTTAGCTGACCAGAAACTGTCCTCACAAATGCACCCCAAGGAACAAGGGCAGACCAGGGCCCTACAGGTCCCCCTTTTATATAAATTATGACTAGGCCTGTCTTGGGTGGCATTGGACGTCAGGCAATACCCCTTACCCGTCATGGGAAAGCATCCAGGTCAAAACACATTTCCTGTCTTAGGTTGGGGCAGCCCCCCAAAAACCTTTCCCGTCATTGGCTCACTAGTCATCCAACACTGACTTCAGCCAGATTTGTACTGAAAGATTCTCTGGGGCAATAGCTAAGAGGACTTGCCACGTGGCAACATTGACCTGAGCTTGCCTTTGGCTCTGTGGCATGGTGCTCCAGCACATATAAGCATTCCTTAAGGAGACTGTGCCTGCTCAATCCTTAATAATTTTGCCCAAAATGGAGCCCTTTAAGTAAGGTCTCAGCACTGGTGAAAGGAACCCTGGTATAGCTAACTAGAATAATTTCAAGAGCCAATTTATAAATTGTACACCTCAGGGTTCGTGAATAACAGCAATAAGCCTATACTGTAAAATCTAGCAGTGGTCTTTAACCACAACCAAGAGCAAAATTAACTGCAATATTCATATGTAAATTTAGCTCAATTTGAATGGCCAAGGCATTTGCAACCCGCCCTGAGAAGGTATCCTTTGTGCTAGCAGGAAGCAACTGACTGACTAATCAAAAATCCAGCAGCTCTAGCCGCCCTGGCAGCAACAGCAATAACTGCCAATATCATGGGATGGGTAGATGGGTAGAGAAACAATCCTTGGCACTCAGACCAGCACAGCCAGCTCCTCAGGAATCCCGCAACTCTTCAGTTGACAAGCCAGAATCTCCTTGATTTCTTGGCTCTGTCCTGTCTTCAGGCTTCTGGACAGGAAAATCCACAGCACGCACCAGCTGCTCAGGTACCCATATTGGATTGTCAGCATCCTGCGGGAAAACACAAACATCCCCTCTTCCCCACACCAGTACAGGATCTAGACCATACCAGGTGACGTCTGATAGATTCTTCCATTTTACATGAGGCATCCCGGAAGAAAGAAATAAAAACTCAGGATAGCCTAAACAATATTAAAATACGCCTACAAACTAAAGATTTTTGAACAAGAAGCAAGATTTTAAAATGGAAAAGAAGCATGTTTAACCTCATTTTACTGTCCGGAAGTTGTAGCTTTTTGAGTCTAGATTTCTTTATAGCAAACCTGCCTCTAGCTGTTCCAGGAACTCACTCAGTAGACCAAGCTGGCCTTGAACTCAAGAGTTTCCCAAGAGCTGAGATTAAAGACTTGTACCAGCACACCTGGCTTATTTCCTGGGCTGATTAACCATCCCTTTACCTGTAGGGCAGTTCCTTTTAATGTATCCTGATCTTTCCCATTGAAAACAATTCCTTCTTCTAGCTCCACCTTGACCCTCCCTAAGGTCAAAATCAATTACCTAGCACATCAAGGGAGTGCCATCAATGTCTCTGCATAATTGGATAAAGTCATTTAAATCCCCATCTCTATGGGGGCATAAAACCTCCTGACAAAACTTATTAGCATTTTCATAGGCCAAATGTTTAATGACTGGCATAGCTGAATCCACATCCCCAAAAATGTGACTTCCCACCTGTAGAAGGCAGTCAATAAACTCAGAATAAGGTTCTGAAGATCCTTGAAGGGTCTTAGAAAGCTGTTCTCGTGATCCTTTGTTAGGTAAAGTTTCCCAAGCTTTAACGGCTGCTGCAGCTATCTGAGCATAAATCGCAGGATCATAAGCAATCTGTGCTGCTAAGCCAGCATATTGTCCTTCACCAGTTAACATGTCAAGGTTATACTGGGGGAAACCTGCTTTGGCATTTTTTCCTGCGGTCTTTTTGTAATTTTCCTGCATTTCACCTCTCCATAACAAGTATTTTCTCCCCCTGAAAGACAAGTTCTGCAACTCAAGGATTTTGTTTAAACTCTCTAATTGCTCTTTCACTTTCACATCATCACTGAGAAGAGCATCTCTGATCAAGCGCCATAGTGGAAATATCACTATGGGGAGTTCTTGTGGCCCTCGCTCTTTCAGTGCATTTTGAAGATCAGACTTTACCTGCTCCCAATCAGTAATATTAAAGCCCCCTGCGTGTAGGAACCAGGGACTAAACTCTAAAACTGTCTAAATGATCTCTTGTGCTGTCTCAACTTTAATACCAGTGCCTTTATTCTCCAAAAGAGCTAACAACTGGCCTGTTAACTGGCCCTTTAACACTGGAACAGAATTACTTGCACCCATAACCAATTCACCCTCGCCACTCAATTTCTTACCTGTTGGCCAGCCTTCCCGAGGGCGACCTCTCAGGGATCCCTACTTCCCAATCTCGCAGATGGGTCTCCGACTGCAGTTGCCGATGATCATTCCAGCGGTGCCTCCAATTGTAACACCCGATTTTGTGTTACACCCTCAGTACAGTTCGGGCAAGGGCCTGGAGATTGAAAAAGCACACAAAGAGACCAGGGTCATTCGAAAGGAGATCAGCCAAATGCCAGTCTATTCATATTTGGGGGAGTCCTTATCTGTCTAACTGCTGCACAAGGATCTCCATCCAGGCAGGTGGGAAATTACCATATTAACAATGGAGACAATGCCCTGCAGCTAATCACCAGGCGGGGCAGGGAGAGCACAGAAACAAACAGGAAGCTTAGTTAGCTGACCAGAAACTGTCCTCACAAATGCACCCCAAGGAACAAGGGCAGACCAGGGCCCTACAACAGTGTATTATAGTCCAATTCAGCAGTCTGTCATTTGTTAAGGACAGAAAAATAACAACACAAAATATTGCTAGTTTAGTGCTGTCTGCCATGGCCTAGAAGGTACTAACAACTCTATGAATTTGAAACATGTACTGGGAGATGGGGCCTTTGGGAGCTCGCCACAAATAAGGTATAGCCCTCCTGATGGGATTAGTGCACTAACAACAGACAGCATGTCGTTTCTTTCCCATTGACTTTCTATCATACAAAAATATTAAGAAATGTCAACAACCACTGATTTGGGAAGTCATATGTCTATTTGTTGCTTTCATTGGTTAATTAATAAAGAAACTGCTTGGCCTGATAGGTCAGAACATAGGTGGGTGGAGTAGACAGAATAGAATGCTGGGAAGAAGGGAAGTGAGGGCAGATGCAATGGAGCCAGCCACCAGGTCAGACATGCTGAATCTTTCCCGGTAAGCGACCACCTTGTGGTGCTACACAGATTATAAGAAATGGGTTAATCAAGATGTGAGAATTAGCCGATAAGAGGCTAGAACTAACAGGCCAGGCAGTGTTTAAAAGAATAAAGTTTCCGTGTTATTATTTCCGGGGCTAAGCTAGCCGTGCGAAAAGCAGGCCTGCTCGCCTCATTACTACATACCACAGAGTGAGGAAATGAGCCCCACTGGATATGGAATTAGTTGTCACCTTACAGGCTTCCCACTCTCCAGACCTATAGGAAATAAACATTTGTGGTTTAAAACTCTACATCTACGACCATTTTCTATAGCAGGCCAAACTGGCTAAGTGTCTTACATTCAATTTACTATTGCAAAAATACAGTTCTAGGCCAAAAGAATGCTAAGTGAGGAGAAATAGAAGCAAGCTAATCAGCTAATACAACCACTACTACCAAGTACATATAAGGACTCCTTTGGAATAGTAGAAATGAAGCTGTCTGAAAGAGAGGCAATTGGAAACTTCCTAAAAGGATAATGGCAAAAACTGATAATCCACTATCTTAGATAGGATTTCCATTGCTGTAATGAAGCACCATGACCAAAAAGCTAGTTGGAGAGGAAAGGATTTATTCAGCTTATACTTCCAGATCATAGTCCGTTACTGGAGGAAGTCAGAACATGAACTCAAGCAGGACTGGACCCTGTAGGCTAGAGCTGATGCAGACGCCATAGAGGAGTGCTGCTTACTGCCTTGCTTCCCATGGCTTACTCAGTCCGCCTTCTTATAGAAGCCAGGACCAGCAGCTCAGGGATGGTACCACCCAACATGGGCTGAGCGCTCCCCCATGCATCACTAAATGAAAAAATGCCATATAGTTGTTTCTCACTGAGGCATTTCTTCAACTGAGGCTCCTTCCTTTCCGATGACTTTAGCTTGTGTCAAGTTGACACATAAAACCAGTCAGCACAACTGACCCCTTGTCAACTTGACACACAAACACATCACTATTAAGCCATAACTTCCTTTTTATTCATCCTCAAGATCTCACATGAAAATCATGAATAATTTTAAAAGTCTCATAGTCTTTATAAATTCAAACACATTAAAACTTCAGTCTCTTTAAGAAATATACAATCTCTTTTAAAAGTTCAAATCTTTCATCTGTGGGCTCCCTTAAAAATAAAATTAAAGTATCTACCTTATTCAAGAGGGAAGAACCAAGATGCCATCACAATTCGAACCAAGCAAAACCAAATTCCAACAGTATAAATAACTGAATGTCAAATTATTTGGGATTCACTCACGATCTTCTGGAATCCTGCAAAGGACCCAGGTCACTTCTCTGCCTCTGCCTTCTGCAGAACACACAGCTTGTCTTCTAAGAGCCAGCAGGCTCCACTCCACTGCTGCTGCTCTTGGTCACCTTCCCATGGTACTAGCATTTCCAAATGCTGGGATCCCTGGCTGCAATCAGGCTGCACATTCACTACGGGTTCTCATGGGCTCTTTTCATGGTGCCACGCCTTAACTTCTTTGCTTGACCCCTTCAGTCCTGGGTCATCAACTGACACGGAGGCTGTACCTTCATCAGTGGTCTCTCCTGGCCTCTCACAGTGCCAAGCCTCAGCTCCTCTCCATGACCCCTTTGTCCCTTCAAAACCAGTACCACCTAAGTGATTCTTACACATTACCAAGTCCTGCCAGCATAAGGTACAACCATAACTGCCTCTGGAAGAAAGTTTTTCTGTGCTCTCAGAAGATTTCACCTCAGTGTTGCTGGTCTCTTCTAAATCACCACTAATTTCTTAGTTCCATCTAACAAGCATCAATTGTCCCAATAATGTAAAAGTGCAACTTTAGTAGTTCTGTTATCTTGTTAATTACAGCTGATTCTTCAGCCCCAGCTAACCAGAACCACAGAATCTTAAATTAAAATTGCAAACGGCCCTGATAGAGTGTTTAATATTTCCTCTGAAATTTCATAAGCCAGTTCTCCATTGTCTGTACTGTTCTCAATGTTCTTATCTTTCAAGCTCTTACAGAACACCCCACTAAGGTCTCAATACTCAATGGCTTTTCTTGCCCCAAGTTCCAAAGTCCTTCCACAATCCTCCCCAAAACACGGCTGGGTCTTTCACAGCAGTATCCCATTATGCTGGTACCAACTTGTCTTAGTTAGGATTTCTATTGCTGTAATAAAACACCATGATCAAAAAGCAAGTTGGGGAGGAAAGGGTTTATTTGGCTTACACTTCCAGATCATAACTGGAGGAAATCAGAACAAAAACGCATGAGGACTGGAACCTGGAAGCCAGAACTGATGCAGAGGCCATGGAGAAGTGTGGTTTACTGCCTTGCTTCCCATAGCTTACTCAGCGTGCTTTTTTATAGAACCCAGGACCACCAGCCCAAGAAGGGCACCATCCACAATGGGCTAGCCAACCCACATTGATCTAAATGAGAAAATGCCTTATACCTGGATTTCATGGAGGTGTATCCTCAATTGAGGCTCCTTTCTCTGTGTGAAGTTGGCACACAAAATCAGCCAGTTCATTCACCATGCAAATGTGGACCTTGGAAGGTGAAAAATAGGCCCAAACAGTTGTGTTTTTTTCCCTATGTAATGTTTCTACCCTCCCTTTATACCTTTACACTAGTCTTTGCTGTAGGAACTCCTTCACCAACATGGACAACTACATTCACATAAAACCTGAGAGAGCTTGGGAAGTAATTCTAGACACAAAAGACAGAGTTAAGCATGGCTTCTTGGTACCAGCAATTACTTGGGTAGGTTCTGATTGCTAGAGGCAAGTACATCTTATTTAAGAGGCTTCCTGACTCAGCTTTAGCTGCAAAAACCTTACAGCTCTTTTAAGAGGCCCCGCCACCAAACACTTAAATGGTGTTTATGAATAGACAACAACATGATTCTTCTTGGTGGCAGGGACCTTGAAACTCCATAGAGTCAATAAACATGGCTCTGGTCAGTACCTCCACCTTGAGGCTAAACTCTCAGAAAGCTAAGGAATAGGGTGGACCCAGTCATCAAAAACACATCTTTAATCTTAGCCATATCACTTAGCAAATTAAAGGCTCATGTGATCAGAAAAAGAGGGATATATGGTAAAGATAGATTCAGATGAAGAAAACTTCCAAATGGTTTACAGTGTATTTAAAAATATATGTAGGCTTGGGAGAGAAAAGAAAAAGGATAAAGTCAGAAAGAAAGAAAGAAAAAAGATGAAAGAAGAGAGAGAGAGAGAGAGAGAGAGAGAGAGAGAGAGAGAAGTTGGGTATGGTGGCACACACCTTTAATTCCAGCACTTGGGAGGCAGAGACAGATGGTCTACAGAGTAAATTCCAGGACAGCCAAAGATACACAGAGAAATGCTGTCTCAAAAAACCAAAAATTAAAAAAAAAGAAACAGGGTTTAAAATAGAGTTACATAGAGATGGAAAATACACAGAGACTCTGGATATTTGTTATAGGGAGAGATGCTTGTCTGTCCTGGGCTGCTCAGCTGCAAAATAACCACACAGAAACTGTATTAATTAAATCACGGCTTGCCCCATTAGCTTTAGCTTCTTACTGGATAACTCTTACATATAAAATTAACCCATCTCGATTAATCTGTGCATCACCACGAGGTGGTGGCCTACCAGCACAGTTTCAGCGTGTATCGAGGCTCCATGGCTTCTCCCTGACTCCGCCTCCTTTCTCCCAACATTCAGTTTAGTTTTTCCCACCTATCTAAGTTCTGCCCTATCAACAGGCCAAGGTGGTTCTTTATTAACCAATGGTATTCACAGCATACAAAGGGGGATCCCACATCAGATACTGTATGTTATTATGTTGTCTTTGAATTGTTTGATAGAGAAGGAAGGAGCAACAGCTGCTAAAAGACATTTGATTATAAATGCTGCTGGATTATTCCAATATATATATATATTGAAAATGTTTTGACTTAAAATTTAAGTCAACTCGGGCAGTGGTGGCACACACCATTAATCCCAGCACTCAGGAGGCAGAGGCAGGCGAATCTCTGTGAGTTCGAGGCCAGCCTGGTCTACAAGAACTAGTTCCAGGACAGGCTCCAAAGCTACAGAGAAACCCTGTCTCGAAAAACCAAAACAAAACAAAAAATTTAAGGCAAAAGATGTCACTTTGGAGTAGAGATTTTGCTTTTGTTTCCACAGGAAATGAGATACTGTGGATTCCCTCTGGGTTAAGAAAAATCAGGTGTGACCAAGGAAATCCCATTGAAAA